CTTAAAAAAAATCTAATTTGGTTAAGTTGTGGTGTATCATCATGATGTAATGCTAACTACTGTACTATAAGAAATGATGAGTACAATGATTTTAGGGAAAGAAATTGGTAACCTTGCATGAAATAATGAAGAGTGAAATGAGCAAAACCAAGAGAATGTTGTATACAGTAATAGCAATGTTATTTTAAGGATAACTTTGAGAGACTAAGTCATTTTGACTATTATAAATATCCAAATTAACTACAAAGGACCTATGAGGGAAGATGCCATCTGCATCCAGAGAAACATCTGATAAATAGAAGTATGTATAGAATGATTTTACATATATATTATATATATATGTGTGTGTGTGTGTATATATAAAATAAATGTATACACACACACACACACACACACATATATATATATACACACACACATAAATATTGTCTAACAGTGGCCATCTTTAGGGTGGGGGGAGAAAAAAAGGGAAAAAAATGAAAGTTACATGATAACTTTATTATATATTTAAAAGGAATAGAAAGTTGTACATAACAGATTTGCAGTTTCATGTGCAACATTTTTTCCTATTCTATTGTGTTATGGAAATGCTTGTTTTATTTCTTAGATTAAAATTTTCTCAGATTAAAATTTTAAAAAAATGAAAAAAAATATATGTATCCATATGTGCATGACACACATTTTGGTTATTTATCTGAGGAAAATAAATGGATAGATAAAGTGAGAAGGAGCACTTCAGTATTGTTAAAGTTCAAATAGTCATTTTTTTCTTCATTGGTGTCCCTTTATCTAGTAATGAGGATGAAAGAATACCTTTGTGTTTAGCATCACACAGCTCTAAAAGGCACCTTGTCTGAAAATACTGATAAATATGTGTAACTTTCACAGGGAATGGATCTGAGACAGCAACCTTCAAATACATTTGACAATGACAAACATATTTTTCTTTTTAGGAGATGAACTTTTGGAGTGTTTACGTGTTTGATTTTCCTCTGAAAACCTTGAACAGCTCTTTGCCCTACTCTTCCTAACTAGCCAGCTACTCTCTGGAAAAAGGCCTAGGATAGCAAAGGAGACCTCACTAGTGGTATGCTTAATGATGCCGATGGAGTCTGCTCAACCTGAGTTTCCTAAAACATGAGATATATCTGATGAGTAAGTCACAGTCTGCTAGGTGCTATTGATTAGCTCATGATAGAATGGCCCCCAAGCCCTCTCCCTACTCGCTGTTTATGATAATTATCTAAAGAACCACATGATAGCAGATGGTATTTTAGGAGAGGCATCTCTTTAAATTCCCATACCTCATCAGTTTCTGAGTTAGGCCCAGAAAAGAAGGCAAATATTTGGTGATGTTCAAAAAAGTCATTCATATTGTTGTTGCTATCACTGTCAGTAACACAGCTGCAGCTACAAGGGGGGAGGGAATAAGCATTTGTATAGCACCTACTATGAACCAGTCATTATGCTAAACACTTTACAAATGTTATCTCATTTGATCCTCCCAACAACCCAGAGAGGTCAGTACTGTTATTATTTTTGTTTTATAGTTTAGGAAACTGAGTCAAACAGAGATTAAGTAATTTGCCAAGGGTCATATAACTAGTAAGTTTCCAATATTAACTCAGGTTTTCCTGACTCCGGTCCAATGCTCTGTCCACTATAACACCTAGCTGACCCAACTATAACACCAATAATATGAAGATTCTCAAAAACATCAGAATTTGTGTGCCAATCTAGAATATGAAAATCTAAACACTGAGGCTATCCCTACATAATTCATTGTTGGTTAACAAACATTAATCATTTACTGTATGCCAAGCATTGTACTAGGTTATGAGGAAAACAAAAACAAAATCTTAACTCTTTCTGTCTTCAATAAGTTTGTGTTATACTTGAAGTAGAACATAGTTTGGCACACACATACATGTTCCATCAAGGAATAAAGCAGTATTTGCACATGTAAAAAATGTTATGTTTTCCTGCATTTCACATAAATCCAATGTCGAGCTCAAAGTCAGAGCTCAAAATCTGTTTATCCTCTGGTCTTGACTGTTGTACAATTCCCTTACATTGCTTACGTGTGGGACGGGGTATAAATGGCACTACTAATCCAACAGATGGATTTTGAAGACATTATCATTGACCAAAGAGCCCTAAGATGAAATCAGATAAGGTAACACTAGGCAGTCTGCAGCCATTATATGACTAGCTAAGACAAACCCATACAATGCTGCATTACTCAATCCAAAGTGTTTTCTAAACCATTTTTGATTCTTACCATAAAAGCAAGTGAAATAAAACATTGATTCAGGCCAAAGAATACAGCATGTCCAGACACAGTTGCCTCATGCAGACCACAAGTAATGTATTTTTATGGCATAATATCAGTCATAAGTAGGATTTTGAAGTGCTTTGCATTTTGCTAGAGACTCAACAACAACACAAACAAAAATGTTTTATGCTTTCAGAAATTCAATGTGCCAAAAGTTTCATTTTTGAAGGAAAATATAGCAGATGTAAGGCTATTAAATTTGAAATCTGTTCTTCCCTAAAATTGAAATAAGTGAGCACTAGCAGAAAAATTGGATGCCTTCTTATCATAAATAGCCAGTGCAGACATACGTATGCTCCCAGATTCCAAAAACATAGCTAATATCTCTGTGCTCATAATAACTGCCCCCCACTACATTTTACTTCCTAGTTTACTTTGCCCTACAGCTATGGAACCTTAGACTTATAACAGCAGAAGAACATTTTGCTGCTATCATCCAACTCCAGTCCCTTAGTACATTCACACAAAGTTCCCCTACCTTATTTTATCCAGCAGGTTGAGGGTGAAGTTAGAAAAAAAAAAAAGTTAAAATCATCATTTGTTTTGACATTCTGTTTTCCCAATGGATATGTGACTCTTGAGGCAAAAATGATTTCAGTTTTGCTTTAATATCTTCAGTGTATAGCCAAATTCCAACTACTGTATGTAATAAACATTTAATAATGAGGTAGTATGTTAAAGTGAAAAGACTCACTCTGAAGTCAGAGGACATGGGTTCAAATTGCACTTCTGATGATGATTAGTGTATTACTTTGAAATACTATTTTTAAAGTGCTTAGTACAGTGCCTGGAATAAGTTGTTGTTTAGTCTTTTCATTCGTGTCTCACTCTTTGTGACCCTCCTTGGGTTTTTCTCTGCAGAGATGCTAGAGTGGTTTGCCATTTCCTTCTCCAGCTCATTTTACAGATGAGGAAACTGAGGCAAAGAGGGTCAAGTGGTTTGCCCAGGCAAAACAGCTAGTAAGTATCTGAGGTCAGATTTGAACTCATTAAGATGAATCTTTTTGACTTCAGGCATGACACTTTATTCACTGTGCCACCTAGCTTCCCCGCACTCTGGAACATAGTAGGTGCTTAATAAATGCTTGTTTCCTTCCTTCTTCTTTGGGCACTTCCTCTGCCTAATTATCTATAAAATCAAAGGTTGGACTAAACAGACTCTTGTACCTTCCACCTCTAAATCTATGATCTTAAGTTAATTGGTTAATTAATTATTATAACTAATATGTACATAGTATTTGAAAGTTCGTCAAACTCTTTATGTATGCTATTTCATTTGATTCTCATAACCCTATGAATAAGGCTTTATTTATTATCCCCATTTAACAGATGAGGAATTTGAGGCTGAGAAGTTCAGTGACTTGCCCAGGTTCACACAGCTAGTAAGTACATGAGGAAAGATACTCTAATAATTGTAGCACAGAGATGTCTTGATGACTAATATGAGACCTTATATACTGAAAATCCACCATCCTATTTCTACCCCAACCGCAGTGGAATCTAATTACTTTAGAAAAAGATTAACCTACTTTTCTACATAGTAGTTGTTTGAAGAAGGCAGGCAGAGAGACAAGATCTATTAGAAACCATAGAGGTCTTCAATATAGCTTCTAGTTATTAACCTAGAAGTTTAATAATTATAATGAAAAGTATTTTGAGGCATATGTTTAGTTCTAATAGCAGAGTCCATCAAAGCACCTAGTCAAAATGTATAAAATAGGGGCAGCTAGGTGGCACAGTGGATAGAGCACCGGCCCTGGAGTTAGGAGCACATATATATATATATATATATAAAGCAACAAATAAGTTGGAGCAATTGTTTGGAATTAATTTCTTTGTATCCTTCCTATTGTCTTTTTGGACATAATGTGAGACACTCATAACATAGTATGATTTCGATACTTGCTATATTTTAATATTCTAAAATCAAAGTTATGACTCATGCATAAGCGTTTATTATTATTATTATTATTATTAACACAAGCATCCAATGGCAGAATTATGCTATTATGGCTTCTGCTTATAATATAATTAGCATATATAATTCAGAAGTTGAGCTCCCAGTACTAAAACTTCCTATAGTGGAAATGATCCACAGAGGAAGGGCTCTTCTAAGCTCTGTGACAACCAGGGAGTGAATTTCTACACATATTTAAACATGGACCTTTAATTAATGACAAAGATTTTCAGGCTGTATTTCTATGACAAAAGTAAACAAACAAATAAACAGCTCTAAGCAATCCCATTACAGTGAAATGGACAATGGACTTGATGGTCTGTTCCGTGTTCTAAGACCCTTTCATGTCAGAAATACACGTTAGTCTTCAGGGTAACAAGGTTGATCTGAGATACTTTTGCCAACTATTATTAGTCTATCACCAGGTACTATAATTACATTTCACAGCATCTTAAAGGAAACTGGGAGAAAGTCCAGTAACAACTTTATCAAATTCCACCATTCAGCTTAATTTTCTCTTTGTTGTGTAGATAAATAACAACACTGTGTCAAAAGACAACTTAGGGGACATACATGTGCACACAGACACACAGAAACACACACACACACACACAAAACTTTCTAGGAATCCACAAAAAAGTCATCTAATGTTACTTGTAAGGTATTTTCCTCTAACATGATTATAATAGATAAGCCAGAAAGACCTACCAGTGGGAGACCCTTCCATGACATGTCCAACGTATGGTCCTTCCTTAAAAATGGGCCTGTTGTCATTCTGATCAATCACGATGATATCCAGAGAGACAGGTCCCTCAATGGTTTTGCCAGTGACATCAATAGTCTCCACGAATAGCTGTTTGAGTAAAGAGATTGGGGGGGAAAGGAATTCATTTATTGTGAAAACTGAAATATGTTCCTCCTGGGAAAGATAGGGAACATCAGCAATTTTGTTGTAATTAGCCCTTGGCAAAGTTCAAACTTTGGTCTCAGAGGATAGTCACTAGGATTGAATTAGAAAGTGAAGGATTTGAGTGAAAGAGAAAAATCAATTCTTGCTGAATCCCCATTGGGTACTTTGCAATTAATTCACTGAATTTGTAAAAAGAACCCAAAGAAATAAAAAAAAAACACAATCTGATATGAATGATGTGAAAAACTGCTGAGGGTATGATGTCTTCTATTTCTCTAGCATAATTATGCTTACAGGGAATATTTTTGCTGGTAAGAGAAATGGAAAAGCAATTCATAGCAGAATATTGAGTCATTACTTCAAGCATTTGTGATTTAATAAGTGTGAGTGCCACCTCCACTTATGAACACTTTAAGCCTTCTAAACCATAGCAGAATGGTATTGATTGTTGGCCAGACATAACCAACATCATAACCAACATTTATCTGGTGAGAGAGACAGAGACAGAGAGAGAGACAGAGACAGAGAGAGATACAGAGAAAGAGAGACACACACAGAGAAAGAGAGAGAGAGAGAGAGAGAGAGAGAGAGAGA